TTCCCTCCAGCGTGTCACTGCATCATGACTGCATCATCCTTCAAGGTTGTGCGTGTTGCAGCTATTGCTCGTCCCTGACAGCTCTTCCGCTTCCCTAACCAGCGCCGAGTTACCCTTACTCAGCCGTGGCTGTTCTTCACAGCAGCACAAGAAATAAGGGAGACTTAGAGGGTTTCCCCGGTCCCCCGTGGCTGCCTCTGACGCCTCTCACCCCGGGGATGCTCTCATCGTCCTTGCCTAGAAGTGAAAACACTCCCCAACAGGAAGCCCTTCCTGGGAAATACATTTGTGTGTCCCAGCAGTGGCTCGGTGTTCATAACTTCTGTAGTTTGGCTGCAGATCAGGCCTTTTCTGCTGGCATGAGCCGCAGGCAGGCAGCTCTCCGACATCTCACACGCGCTGGGGGAAGGCGGCTTCTCGCAGGAGCAGTGCGTTGGCTCGTTTTGGGGAGATGGAGAGGGTTGGGTGCAGCCTGCCTACCTGCTTCACAACTGCTTTTTCCGGAGGCTGCCTTGGCGAGACCCACGCTCCCCCTTTGCGGTTTTTCCACGTTATCCTTGGTGCCTTGCGGTGTGACAGCGCGTGATCGGATGCGCTCGAACAGAGCCGGATACGTAGCCGGGAACGTACGGGGCTGCCGACCACGAGTCGTTTAACCTGTTCACCGTGTTCCTGAGCGCAGCACTGCAAAACCGGCGAGGCCGACTGCCCCGCCCGCGTTGGCGCCTGCGCTCTCCGCGCTTCCGACAGCCGCGTTTCCAACCAACGCGCCCGAGGAAGCCGTCCTCAGACGTCTTTCTTGAGGTGCTCCCGGCGGTGAGAGCGCCGTAGGGAAACGGTTCCTTCTGCCGTCCCTTACGAAGGGTGAGGCTTGGCCGGAGGGCGGAAGCGGCCCAGAGGGACTGTGGCTGGAGTTCTGCTGGTGTCCCTTGTGCCACTGCTCTCCGCTGGCGCCCGAGTGCTGCCGTTCCGAGTCTGGAACTGGGAAACACTTCCCGCTGTCTTGAGCGGTTGTTTAAGGTTTTCCTCTTCTAGAGGCAAGAGGGGCGTTGGGGGGTAGGGAGGTGGCTGCAGGAACCTTTTCTGACACCGTCACGGGAACAGAACCCGGTTGATTTGGCAGCAGGCCTCAGCGCGTGGGAGCTCACCCTTGTTGACGTTCGTTCCCCCTACTGTCGTCAGCACGGGGCCCTGTGCGGTGCGCGGCTCCCCCAGCACACCCTGGTGTTCTGGAGGGGGAAGCTCAGCAGGGCACCCCGCGCTGGTGCCCTACGCAGGCTGGGGGAGCGCGCGCAGGTTTTTCCGGGACGCCATTGGGCTGGTTTTGTCAGCGCAGCCGGTTCAAGGGAACCCCTGAGGCAATGCCCCAGCGACAGGCGTGCGGGCAGCTTGCCGACACCTGACCCGCGCTCCCGCTGCAGCGCGTGGCTCTCTCCTGCTTGGGTCTTTTTTTGCAACAGCGCAAGTGCTTTTAAAGCTTTACCGTGCAAGACCCCCAGCTTCCGAAGCCAACATCAACCCTACCGTGGGTATCTGCAAAGGGATCCCGTAAACCTGCTTCCGCAGGGAAGCGGTGCCGTTAGCTCTGTATTCTGACCCAACCTTCTGGCCCAAGGTGCCCGGTAATTTGCCGAAGCGACGTCCAGTTTTCAGTTGTACCAACCTCAAGCTGCCCTTCGGTTGTACCTCAGCTGAGTAGCTGCTCACCCCTCTTTGTGACTCATCCGGACATTTTTTACTTGTCTTTAAACACAGAATTTAAGATACTGGAAGAAGTATCCCGGGGATGGGGAGAAAGCGTTACAGCATCAGCTGTGGATGTACATTCCGCACTGCAGGGAAAGGAACCCAGAGCTTCAGCCACGTCAAAGTGCCTTTGTTTTCCACCTTTAAGAAAAACACCACGACTGTCACATCCTATCTGTATCAGAATGTTTTGATCCTAAAATCGAAGCCTGCTGGAGTGCTGTTTCCTTGTCCTCGCCGCTCCTCTGGATGCGCAACCAGCCGCAGCGCTTCCTTTGAACGACGAATAGTCACCGAGCGGTTTGGGCTGGGAGGGACCTTACAGCCCACCCACTTCCAACCCCCTGCCACGGGCAGGGACACCCTCCCCTAGAACAACTACCCGTGCAGAAGCGATGGTTTCCTCTTGTTTTCCAAGAGCAAACGGAGACTTTTCAGAGGGTTTTCTTTCGCCAAACAGCAACACCAGCACTAGAAACCGGCCTGCTTGCCTCAAAGTATAAAACCGAGCTGAGAAAAGGGCAAAACGATGCCTTTGTTTCCTCATGTGTTACTAACAGGGCTCCTTTCCGACTGCTTCAATCACCAGGACATCCGTATTTTCCGTCAACTTTATTGATAAAATAAGTTCAGTGTACAGTACACAACTCTAGCCGTAAACTCTCCCCGAGCCGTCCGCCTTACAAAAATAACAGGTACGCGGTGAAAAAGAGTCACTCCGCGCGCCGTGAAGGTCCTTTAAAGTCCTCGGGGGGTCAGTCAGGCCCGCGGAACCACAGGGGAGCCGCCTCACACGTGACGACTGGGTGTTGATAAATTAACTCACGTCGGTTTGGTTTTTAAATTCACAAAGAATAAACACTCATCAAGCATTATTCCCCTGACGGAGCAACCTGAAAGAAGTGCCGCAGGCGGACGACCCTTCCCCGCTACGCAACCCCGGGGGCCGTGCTCCCACGACGGACCAGAGACTCGGCGTCAGGCGGACAGAAACGCCTCCGGCGCCAGTCGCTGGCCGAAAAGCCGCTTCTAAAACGAACTTCACCGAACCCAACGTTTCTCAGGAGTTGGCGCCCAATAAAACACGCTCTGCTGGGAAAAAAAAAAAAAGAGCCATTGCTTCCGGCAAGCCGCCGGCTTGCAAGCTGCTGGAGGAACGCAAGCTGCAAATCAGAGACGCACGGGCAAAGTTTTGCGGATAACGAGAGCGGAGAAGTAGATTTTCTGCTTGAGCTAAAACGTTCCCTGAAAAATTCCCCCCCCACAAGGGTCCAGCAAGTTTGGAAACGGTTAAAACTCTTATTTTTCCCCCTCCTCCCCCTGCACACGACTGTCCTCGATATATTCTTAAGCCCAGGAACAAGCTCAGCGGCGCTGCAGAGAGGTAGCAGCTTCTCCACTTGTACAAAAAGCACTGTGAGACCTGGAGGGCTCCAGTCGTCTGTCCGACTTCTTCAACTCTGACGGCAGCCGTAGCGCTTCAGTGACTCCCACGGCGGCTCCGGAAAACACGGCGGGAAGGAGGGAGCGGTGCACAGCATCAGAACGCTCAGGGGTAGCTCCCCAGAAGTGAGTTCAGCGGGAACTGAAGCTCCCCTCGGAGCTGGCGTGCCTCTACCTTGCGGCCGGGGAAGCCAGGCCGAGTCAAAGGGAGCTCCGTAAAGCCGACGCGCTCGGAAGCGCCTGGCGCCAGGTTCTCTGCGCGTCGTCCTAACTGAAAACCCCGTCTGCCGAGGTGACGGCCGACGGCAGGACCCTGACTGCGCTCGGGGAGTTATTAACCAGCCAAGATGCCCAGCTGGGGGTGGCAGCTGTGGGCCTTCCGGTTCCTGGGGCCCGC